TGTCAAAGATCCTCACCAACAACATTTAGGGAAAACAGCCACTGGAGAAAAGTCTGGCATGGTAAATAATGGAACAAAAGATCGGGAACAGGGTAGTAGTAAATGGTCAGTTCTCCCAGTGGAGGAAGATAATCAGTGGACTTCCCCTGGGACCTGTTGCATTCAACATGTTTACAAGAGATTAGCAATGAGGTGGCAAAGTTTGCTGATGCCAAGAAGTTATTCAAGACAGTAAGGAGAAGAGCAGACTGTGAAGAATTGCAGAAGGATGAAAGTAAGTTACTGTACTTATATAAGCACCAAATAAGATAGCAGATGAAATTCAGTGTGGATAAATGCAAAGTGCAAAACAGGAAAAATAATTCTGGCTTCATAAGGAAAATGAAGGTCTCTGAACTGACCATCACCAGAAAGCTCCTGATGGCGTGACAGACAGTGTCATGAAAATATCTGCTCAGTGCTCAACTGCAATCAAAAGAGCAAATCACTGTTAGGCATTTTTAGGAGAGGAAGAGAAAGCATTATTATTACCCTACATATAACTATCAGTTGCACACACTTTGAACGCAGTACTGCTCACCCTCATCTGAAAAGGAGTAGATTGAAACTGGAAAAGATACAGAGAAGAGCAAGTATGATCAGAGATATGGAACGGTTTCCACCTGAGTTGAGTTTTCCGTGACAGAGAGCTACAAATTCACAATCGACATGAATGGACAGATGGTTCATTGTTTCTTCCCACATGTACCTAAAGTCATCAAATGAAGACAGCAGGAACTAGAAGCCTTTTCTTTCTAACCAAAGAGTAGGAAATGTTCCTTTTGTCAGCTTCCTCCTTGCCACTAGATGCTGTGCCTGCAAGGGTGTTACATGGGGAGACTGGAAAAGTAGTTGGATAAAAGGGATTCCGTTAGGGCTGCTAAGCTGACACACACAACAAGTTCAGTAAGTAAGCTTTCAAAAAGTTTGGATTTAGCAACACTCAGGTCAATTCGATGAATTAAAACATAGTGGGAGTTATGTTACATGACCAACTTAAATCAGGAAGGTTAGAAAGCTGGCATATTTGAAGAACATTTCAGTAAGGTAATATATTGACATGTTGGCAGTTACAGAGAAAAAGGTAATTAATATAAGAATGGAATCAGGACTATACAGGTCAGTGCTCTGTCACTGACGTATATATACTGAGAGTATAGATACTATTATACCGAACGCCATTTAGTCTTCAGAAAGTCCTTTTTTCTTTTTAGGTTTAATTCTGGAAGCTTGTAAATTCATTGCATTTGTAATGAACACTAAAATCTTGGATAACAGATTATAACTGAACTGTTAACCTTTAAGGAGAAGGCTTTTGGTCACCTGGCTATACATGTCAACTACAGAATGAAAAAGAAGTATATGATAAATTATTACGAATAAAATCAAAGGGTGCATCACACCATAAGCATTCCTCTCACTGACTTGGTGTTGTATGTACTTATTTACACTCCTGTGTAGAATGTTATCTCTCTGAGGCAACTATTAGCAAAACAATAGACTTGTCCACACCTAAAACTCACAAGTCCCATATCAGCAATAAGTATACAAATTTTGTTCTTAACAGATTCAGTCTTCTGAGACAAGGGAATCTGATGGAAGAACAAATTCCCTGGTAGATAAGACAAACAGAGTCTGTTAATCTTTAAAATATACTGCAAGCCTTCCTCTTTGTCAAAGCTTTTCCTCGATGACATTTGTAATAACAACAATTTTTCAAAATTCTACAACCCAAACCCCTGCTTCAGGAAGATTTCCACATTAAAATAAAGAGAAGAAAAGGAGCAGAGATTCCATGACTGTTACTGCTCATTTAATCATTGGTGGACATGTTCAAAACAATGATATGATGCATGCCAAACTAATAACAGTTGATGGTACAACAACAGCTATCAGGATAACTCATATGCTAAGTTACGGGGTAAGCTTAAAGTGATTAATGGATAATTTTTGAACTGTGAGAAAAACAAAATCATCAAGCTCATAATTCACCTTCCTATGGCAAGTCATTACTAGTAACTTGGAGGCATTACTGTACATACTTGTGGAAGCTAAAAATAAACATAGAATTGTATATCCACCGCTGAAGTAAACTGTTTACTGAATATCTATTATTACTTTATAACACATAATATGACAAACTGCCAGTTTGGCTTACGTTACTGTACTTTTAAACAATAATCAAGAGTTGGCAGAGAGCTAGGTAAGTGCTCATTTACTGCATTTTGTATAAATCTAAATAAATAAATGTATGGCAGGTTGTCCTAATCTAACTTCTCTTGGCTGATACTGGATTGCTCCTTTTTGCACCATACATTTTTGGGCATATTTTGCAAGTCTAGACTTCTGGAACAATCACAAAGCAACTCTCATTCTGATAATTTCTACTCCATGCGCAAGGAAAAGAGTACAAGACCCCAAAGTGATATGAAGGTGCAGTGAGAAGGATCTATTCTGAATTATCTTTCATATGGAAAAAACCTTGTAACTTTGCACTGGACACTGTGCTAAGTTACAAGACTGGACACTGTTTAAAGCATACATTAGAGTGAGGAACATGCCTTCTCCAGATTAAATTAATGTTGCAGTAAGTCACTTAAATACATCACTATATTAATTTGCCTGCAAGCTCTGATCAATGTAAAAGAAGTCTCCTAATGTCAATTTGCATGCCAGTGTTGTCTTCTTCTCTACAAAACACTACGTTTTCTTGTGTTCCCCCCCAACATTATCATTATATAACTAAGGCTTCGGCTGTAGGAAAAGTGAATCAGGGTTACGGTAATATTTCAGACTTTACATCAGCCTTCTAGTTTCTTCAAGGCCGTGAAAAGTGATGAAATAACTTTGTTACTGCCTTCACCACATGTCATTACTGAATCTGAAGGACTGATCCATCAATTAGCACTTCTCAAATAACTAACCAAAGCATAACCTTAATTTTGACAGGAGAAATCAACTGTTAATGTGTATAATATAAAGAAATGCGAGTTGATCATTATTTTGGGGATTAGAGAGTCATTTGAATAGGTATTTTATAAAACTTTACACTGTTACAACAAACCTGCAAAAGCCTTAAGAATGTAGAACTAAAAATCAAATGATGTGCTTATTGTAATGAGCCTTGTGTTTTGATATAGTACTTCGCTTTATTTTCTAATTTAATTATTTCATTTATGCAAATAAGGCCCAAATGCTATTGGACTCAAGAAGTTAAACACTTGACATTTTTACTCCTTAAAACTGCAACATTTTATGACGTCTAGATATGTTTATTAATTAGTGATTATTAACACTCAGTAAACAACATCAAGTCTTGTAAAAATACAATCTTTCTTCACAGCGTGAGGCTGAAATCTATTATTCACTGATTCCATATGCTGAAATACACTCAAATGATCACAAACGACCTTAAGCATTAGATAAATGTAAATGAGGACAGGGTAGAAAATCTGCTTTTGATTGATATCTAAAAGACCAGGTTTGAAGTCTTGACAAGGGATGAAATCTGAAATCTCATACAAAGTAAACGGCAACTGGAACTCTGCAAAATCTAAGCTGCTGGATGGACGCACCACACAGCCTCTCCTCAGCAGGGATGAGTGTCTGAGGTTGCTCACAAGAAGCGCTCGGCACACGGAACGTGAAAGACTCTTCCTGGGACCCGCGTGGCCTTTGTCTACTTGGCAGGCACTTATTAGGATGCAGAGATATATCTCTAAGTTATATGCACGTACACCCTCCCTAATGAAGGCAGAATTTTCCTAACCCTAAGTGCTCACTTAAAAGAACTTCTCTACACAGAATGGCTACATAAGCATAGGATAAATGATGTGAATGATAGCCATTAAAATTGTATGGGTTTAACCCTCTACGTTAATAAGCTTATTCTGCTGTAACAGCTTGCCTTTCTCAGCCCTTTTTCAGCTTTACTTTTGTCACTTTGAGAAGGACTGAGAGCCCTTCTTCTGGAATGAGAATCATCCGGAAAAGGAAGATTTAGACACACAAATAAAAGTGCACTATTCTCTCTTGGGTAGCCATCTCTAAGCACATTCTAATTCACAACCCTATACCATATATATGAATTACTTTACAACTTACTTTTTAAATATTATGAGAGACGAACACAACCTCAAATTTCCAGCTGCTTTCAGTCCCTACTGTACCTGGAGATGCCTCAATGAAATAGATAGTTGAACAGCTAACTTCAGTGGCATCTGTTAGAGTGGGTCAGGAAGGGCTCTGGAGACCAAATTCTCTGTGCCTCTACAACACTTACCCCCAGAGCACGCCTTCAGGGCTAACTCGGAGACAGCAGAGCTGACGGGCTTTGAGAGAAATGCTGGGTGTGCCCTGCACCTTAGGACACAGCCAAGGAGAGCAGAGAAGGGCCCCAGCACGCTGTGCCTGGCTCGCATGCTCCCCATCTGCCCTTGCAGCAACAACACGTGATACTGATCGCACAGACAGGATGACCAGAAAACCTCCCAGGGATGTTCTGACAACATCCACCTCAGGGGCAAATGGGATTAGTTGCCACCCTGAATTCTCAGAGCTATTTAAAATGAAACCTGCCAGTGATTTAGGTACATTCATTCCAAGCCTCATATTCAGTACAACGGGTAATGCTGACTGTGAAGCAGGCAAATTTCAACCATGCAGTAAACCACAGACTGAAGAGACACAGTGTCTGCTAAAATGAATAAAAAGGAAAGAGAGGTTATGTCACCAAGATTAATCATACTGTATTTGTTATGTTAAAAAGCAATTAAAAACTTTAAAAAATACTTCCAAATTTCCATCGAGCATCACTTACCTACTTATATTGTATATACATCTGGGTCAGCATCAGTAATACAGGTCACACTTTCCCACTTTTGCATACGTTTCACACGAACATTAAATATTAAATATACAATTACGTGCAAGAATCAGTAAAACAGTTATTAGAATCTTACCAGCTTGACACTTTCTGAGCCTTAAATAGTCCTGCATTTTGGTTTCTTGTGATGATCTCACTCACATCTGTAGCATAGTCGTTAAGAATTATCTACAAAACTAGAGCAGCAATAAAAATAATAAAAAATAATTTTTTCCGTTGTTAATACCTTCATAATGTCTTTTATCTCTTTGGTCTTCTTTAATCTGTGCTGAGAGTCAGTCTTTTTTCAGAGGCATAAATTTTACGTTGCTACTCCAGCACATCAGCCATGTATCTATACAGCAACTTGCTCTTGTTGCCTACCTCTTTTTACTGTTTCATTTCAGGAATTGCTAGCCCTGTAGCTACAGAGGCAATTGAAAAAGACTTCCCATACCTTATATACATTTAAAGGCAACTATTGCTTACAAACATAAGAATTATAACCATGGCAAACAGAAATTTTTTAGCACGGTCACTTAACGTCCAGTTTAGTTTGTGCTGCTTTTGACCGTATCACTGGATCACAGTGCTGAGACTTTGGAGGCTTTATGGGTTTTGAGCACCTGCCCTCTACGAGACACGTACCTTTGTTCCTGGCTCCGTCTGGGGGAAATCCAACACACAACGGGAGCACCTCGACCTATAGGCAAGGGAGTTTCTAGCCCATTTGCTTTCTTGAGAACGGTTTGGAACAACCGTGAAAGATAGCACAAAGCAATAAATGCCTTTTCCTCCCCATAGGCACCGCAACAGTGCCTCAGCCTCGTGTCTCAATGCCTCAGCCTCATGTCTCAGCTTCTTTCAGTTTGGAAGATCCGGTCACGAATTTGAGTAGCCATTCAGCAGGCCAAAGCAAGGGCTATCAATGAAAAGTTTCAAGGGAAGCTGCGCTCAGTCATCTAAGCCTACAAACATAACCTTCATAATCAATCATTTGTGGTTAGTGAGAAGGCATTGGAAGGAAAAGGTGTAGCAAATAACCAAAACCTATGAGAATACTAAATGTCACCCAGCGTGAATCCATACGGATTTGAACGATTCACTCTCAAAATACACAAAATTATCTTAAGCTGACATTTTTGGTAAAGATGTCAATGATCCCTCTTTCTTATTTAAGGTACAGGAAATCTGACGCTAATTAGGAGGATGCTTCTAGGTGCACAAAATATGTTGAATTCTTTGCAAGTGCTCTTATAAGAACATTGAACACTAGTGTCAGGCTAATTTAAAATATCACTGTTGTATCTCTTTATTTGCTTTGCTGAAATCCCATAATTGGCCTTCCTAACACAGTTGGCTATTTAAGAAAAGTTATCTTAGGAAAACCTCTATCCAAACAATGTGAAAGAAAAGACAACTGGTATTTTGTGAAGCCAAAAACTAGACATGGAATGACAGAAAACTGGTTTAAACAAATCTCTGCAATTTGGACGTGCCTTTTGAATCTTTTCCACAATGTGCAATGAGAAGTAGCAATGAATGGTCTATACCTGTGAAGCAAAAGGAAGGCATAAATAATTCCATGAGCAAACCATGCCATTTTTAAGCAGAGGCGGAACTAACTTTGTTGATAAATTAGCAGCCCTGCACTTAAATTATATAACTGAGCAAAACTATTAATAATTGTTGGAAACATGTTAACACTAGCTTTTTTAAATAATTTATGAGCCCGTGTCTTCAGGCATTCAGGCTGAACATGACCTTTCTAACCTAAATTTCCCAGGACTGTTGAAAGATCCATACACTATATTTTAATGGCCATTATAGTGCACTGCAACAATGTTTTGTATTATTGATGCTTTCAGACAGTAGTTCAAGTCACTAGTGCATGGTGTGAAACAGAGCTAAGGCAGAAGGTACACAGCCTCTCTGAAACAGGAGGCAATTTTTACTAAAAATGAACCTCACCCTTGGATTTGGACATGTCGAACCGAGTATAGATGCTTCCAGTGTTCTGGGGAAATAGAATCTGATGTTCATGACTGACTATGTCATAGATATTAGGTACCTAAGTTGGAAAATTTGTATCTGAATGCATATCACCCAAAATTACAAAGCGGCGTGAATCTGATGACTTTGCCTATGTATATCTTTATAATTCACTTGAAATATCTGCATTTTTCTTTTTAATACTTTATTTAAATGATCCTCAAAGAACTTAGATAAAATACACTGAAACAACAGTAAAGTTTTGAGCCAAGCTGCAAAAGCAATAACATCTGTCTTTATTTAAGTCATTTTGCAATATGAATGATCTGTTAATTGATTAGAATCTGCCCATGATAAGCAAAAGGAGTTAGAGTGAAGTCTTCTAAGTGGACTAGTAACTCAAATCATAATATCCTTTAAAAAACCTCCATAAACCTCATGCATAAGACCACAGATTAATATAAAATAGAGCTATATATTTCACAGTGAAATGGCTAAAAATGACAACAATGATTTGAAATTAACATATTAATAAGTTGTTTTAACTTGTAACATTTCAATAACATATCCTAATATAGATATTGAAAACATACGTAGTGAATACTTCCTGTGGCAGTATGAAATGGAGAATAATATGAAGAATGTCAAAAATTAAAAGAAAAATCAAATCCTCAAAAGCTTGAGACTTCACAAGGCAAAGCTGTTAGTTACGCTCACTGAATAGCGATAACAACAACAAAAACAACAATAATTATGATGATGATGATAATACAAAGGCAGATTCTCAGATGCAATGCACTATTGCCAGGTCGATTTTCAATTACATTTCACTGATGTATTCATTTGTTTCTTAATGTGCTCATCTTGCCCATTAAGAATAATTAGCAGGCTTGCTTGGTGATTTCCTGGCTTCTGACAGTGATTTTTTTGTTGTTGTTGTTGACAACCACTTTTACTTTTTGGAAAGTAATTTTTGGATATCATAGTATGACTGGCATGTAATTTAAGCTTCCTAAGAAATTTAAAGGGAAGATGTAAACAGTAATTTTTAAACCAGATTATTTTAATCTATAACACCTACATAAAAAGCATAATACTAGGCATTAACTATTTCTGAAGAGCAGAATCTAGAAAAGAAAACAGTATTTTATCCCACAGTAATTTAATTTGGTATGTTAAACAATTAAAAAATATCATCAGCAATAATAAAAATTAGCACAAATACATCCTTTGTAGACTGTGGCACTTGGGGCCAAATACTATTTCCAATTACACTAAAAATTCTTACTGATTTCAGTGAGTCTTGTGTGGCTGAAACAGATTTAAATTTAGCCTAAACTTCTGTTACAGCTAGACACTATAGAAAAGAATACGAAAGAAAATTACCATAAGACAAATCATAAAATTACTACTGAAGTCCATAAAACACATAAAATGCAACATAAATTTTATTATGTGCACTTTTAAGAATACATTCCACCTACACTGTAAAGTTCTTAGTCTGCTGCACTTTGGCACCCTGCTAATATTAAGCCCTTTGTCAAATCCAACACAATAAAAGCACTTTGAATGCTGAGCCTTCAGAGCACCAAATGTTAAAAAAGAAAAATAAATTCCTGTTAGAGCCTTCCACCAATCGCTTCTCTGAAAGGGATTCACTGAGTGAATACAGATGAAGACTTCTTGTAAGACTTTTGGAAATAAAAGATATTTCTAAAACATATTGTGAAAAAACTAAGGTGTGCTCATTAGATGACATTAACAGTATCTTTTTCAGGAATGAAAGCACTTTAATTTGCTTAATTCCAAAGGCTGAGTGAATACTCTTAGCACTCGCTAATTTTCCTTGCTGTAGGAGATGCCTAAATTTCAGAAAAGTTCAGGTACGTTTATGGAATCTGCTATGCAAGATATTTGCTGACTTGATGATTACTGAGCTCACCTGCGGGTAAAATGACCTTTTGCCAAATACCTGTGCTTCTATAAAGCATCAGTTTGTTTTCTTAGGCTAGTTTTGAAACACTTTTTTTTCCTCCCGCATTTTTTATCTTCATAATGACATAGAGGAAAGATTGGGAGGGGTGATGCTGATTAAAATACACAGAATAATGAATACTCCCTCCTTAAGACACAAGCATAACAAACTAGAATTTAACAAAATAAGAATCCCTGGAACACAACTGAGAACTCGCATTTTTGAGAAAAAAGAGACTTTCATAAGGCTTCGTTCAAGTTTTAAAAGATATGATCTAGGCTTGGCTGTTTTTTCCATGAAATTGTTAAAGTGTTGTAAGCAATTATAGTTACCTCCATTACCTCTGAGAAAGTCTTTTTAAAGGTAGCAGCTAATATTATTGTACTGCAACGTCTACTGTTGTAACAGTTATCAGCAACTGCAGTTTTTTTAAACTACAAATTAGTTAAACTTATTTTTTTCACTAAGCACTCATTATGTTAGCTCTCAAATACATACAAACCTCAAAACTCAAATCTAAATAATTCTGATGATGCGGTGGCCAAAAGCTGAAAAACTAGTCTGCCTCAAAATGCAAATAGAAAGATTACTAAGGAACAAAAGCAAACAGATATCTTCCTTTTTTTCTTCTCAGTTTCTAAGGGCTATTAGTATTCACTGTATATATCTGTTCTTGTTCTGTGCTGATACTTAATGTGGCCACAAATTATGATCACTCATTCTCTTGCTTAGCCAAAGTCCAGTTCAATTTTCTGAACTATGTGTTCATATTAGAAGGGCATAACAGCAATTTATTCTAATAGAAGAAATATAATAAAATGCTTTCTACAAGGGACAGAGGAGTTTTGCAGTCTTACATCAAAAGAAATAATGACAAATTGATAATTGATTAAGCACACTAAATGGGTAATTTGTAGGCAGTTACAACTTAGCAGCACAACGAAACCACACATTTCAATATACACTGGAAAAGCTATAACAACATACAAATACTGGGTATGTTTTAAGAGGCTAGTACCTGGTAAGTAAAAAAAAAAAAAAAAAAATCTAGTTCTTCTGCAAAACGAATATGTGAAGGGGAGCTAATGATCTGGTTCACTGCTACACCTCCCGTAACGTGCAGCATACGCACAAGGAATCTTTCAGCACTCGACTATAAGACAAATATTTACTACTGTACTTGCTCTGTGCCACGACGTACGTTTTTAATTAAAGAAGAAAATGTGGCATTTATTGTGGGGGAAGCTGTAGCTCTGTTCAAGATATTCTACCTCTGTTTTTTAATTACTTATATGGGCACTTTTTCTTAATATACCCCATGCTGTCTGTCTTTATATCAATTGTTACTCAGCCAGTAAAAAGGAACGAGCACAACAAACCAGTTTTCTATCTGAATAAGGATACTTTTGATGGCCTTTTCATTTCCATCAGTTAACAGAACTTCTTTGACATCTGCAGAAATAGCAACCTGAAAAAAAGAGCACAGCAAACAATGAGCAAATATGCTTGTCTGTGTGGAAGTGAAGACAGGAGTGACAAGCCTTCAGTATCATGCTTCCTCACCTATTTCTCTGTAACAATCTTCAATCTTTTTTCATTTTATGTCTGCATTATTTTAATCATTCAATCAAATCAGTCAATACTTTTATCATTCCATTTGCGGGAGCCTCTATCTTGCTATCATTCTGTTCCGTAATTGCATTGTGACAGCGGATGATGGTATTCTGAGAGGCTTTCATTTGCGGGCTTCTGTTTATCTAGTAGAGCCATCATACAAGGCTGTCACTCTGCCTTTCAGCTTGCTTCTGTCTGACTGCCTGATGCCCTTCATATAACTTTGCATTGCAGGCAGATGGCTTTGTAAGGGTAATTTTTTTGTGAGCTTTGACATGCTCGCACATTGGGCTGTAACCTCGACACATTGTATAAGAGCGACAGGTTTGTCAAATGCCAATCAGTGTAACAATATGCTTTTATTTGTAGAGACATAAAAACTTGTCTAATGCACTGCACTGCTACATAATATCTCCTGAATACATGACTCAGAACCCAGAGAATGGTGAACGACTCTCCTGAATGGCCAATCTAATTCAAAAGAATCTAATTACTGAGAGCTCTGGATCATGTTTGTTGGTGTAATAATGCAGGCAAAACATTAGCAGCTATATCATGGTGCTCCAACTGTGATTCGCCAGGCTATTCCTGTATCTTAGCAAATGGGACTACAATCTGGAAAAAAAAAAAAAAAAAGGGCAAAAAAAAAAAGCTTCGGCTATGGCAATGAAAGACAGATCGTACGTGGCCTGGAATGTCACAACAAGAGATATTGACTACACGGAGGTAAAATGTTTCTGCTCATCGAGGCAACCATAAAATCAATATGATACGAAAGCAAGTCAATCTAGAAGGTCTCTCAAGACTCTGCAGCTTGACCGCAGCTGAGGCTGTTGACAGTTCTCTGACCCAGCAGTTGGAGGCACTGGAACATTTTTCCTTTTGTTTCTTCCTCTGAATGGGATTGGAATTGAGAAAAGACCTACCATGAGCCCAGCCAAGCATGTCATGCCACCCCCTAGCTCACACACAGCAAGGTCCCTGAAAGAGAGAAAGGAAATGGTAGAACCCATACAAATTAGATGAAAATGGTCAGAGAGACATATATGTTACAAGAACAAATTGCCATCTGCAGCAAGAACTGAGCTACCAGGAAGTTGTAGAGACATGACTAGGCTACCTCATGTCGTTTTGCGTTTTAAAAATAATTATGAAATAGAAAAGTCACAAAGCAGGCAAATCAGTGGGGGTTCCCTCATTAGTGTTCAGTGCAACATTACCACCGCTGAGCTGAAAAATCTGAGAAGGTTCCCTTTTTTCCCTTGTCAATGGCTCTGTCTTTTAGAACTAAACTAGCTAGAGTAGCGAAAGATAATTGTTAGGAAAGGATAACAATGTTAATCCACATTCATTCTTGCAAAAACAGTTAGAGAAGTAAATGGGGAAATTAATATTATTTATGTATCTCTCCATATAGTTATGCCTAAAAGCCTTTTTATGTTAAAAAGAGAAGAGTTTTAAAACAAGCCATATACCACAAAACAATTACACACGAGGAAATCCGATCCTTCAATTAGCACTTAAAACTGCAAGTGACCTACAAACGACGACGTTATGAACGACGATGGGAACAGCAAACAGTTAAGCCACAGAAAACTCAACGAAGTTAGCGTCAGGAGCCTAAACTGAGCCCGAGCAGAGGGTTGAATACATGGTCTAAAAAGGCTGCTTTTAACTCAGACCATACTGCACCCTTACTAAGACGCGCATGTGAAATATCATTTGGCGCGGAGAGCGTGCCGGATGGGAGCTTGCAGGGGCAGCCATAAAGAATGTCCTCCGGAGCCACGGCCTGCCCCAGGAGGGGAGGAGGGAGGGATGCCGACCCCGCGCCGCAACCGCGTGAAGCGGCGTCCAGGGCAAGGCAGAGCCTCGGTTTAGGAACACGCTGCTTTGTAGCCACATCTGTGGCAACTGTTACAGCCGGCAGAAACGCTCCCACTGAGACGTCTTTGACAGGCAGAAAATGGAATTTCAGCTAAACAGATTTTTTACTTTTTTTTTTTGTTGCACCTTTTCTTCTCCCCTAAAACACCAACATTTGAAAACCTATTTTTATGCCGAAGTACTACCTCCCTACTCACTCGACGCTGATCTTTAGGAAGAGCACCTAGGATGTCGTATCAGTATACAGATGCTGGTATGTTGTTCACTGAGGCCCGTGGACTAGGCTGTATGACTGTATTCTAATGCTCGCTGTCTGGATGGGAGAGAGTTATTTTTCTTAGTTTCCACAAACTTTATTTGAAAATAGGCTAGTTGTCCTATTTAATGGAAATAAGACAGAAGAAGGACTTGTGGGAACAAGCTGTACGTAAACCCAACGAGAATATAAAACAGAGGTGGGAAATTTGCAGTTTGTGGTTTAAATAGAATGATTATAGGTTTTTCCTCACATAAGCTTTCATTTTTAAACCATATATGTCATATATATTAAAAGTATATAGATATGGTTATATATCTAAGATTCACAAGGCACTTAATCCTTTACAAGAGTCATGCTTATTGAAATAAACAAAGAAGGTATCTAGTGTGTGGTTTTTAGTGCATTTTGAACCAAATTTGTATGCACATAATATATAAGCATACACATACACGCATATACACACACATATTTATGCATATAAATAATTTCTTTTAGTGCAAAGTTCCCTTATTAGCAAATTTAAAAAATCATATCCATCTTTCAGGCACTATTTAATGATACTTATCGATAAGAATTAAGTAAGAAACTCTACCCTGAGTGTACTGTTGCGAGGGCACAATCCTGAGAAATCAGGATGTGAAACTGCCCGTTTCCTCCCTGGAAGTTTGATCGCTGCCTCCGAGCATCCAGGCTTGCATACCCAAACCGGGAAAACACCCTTTTAGTGAGCAGCACAGAGGGGTTTGCTGCAAAAAGCCTCTGAGAAGAAGCAGAGGGTACGAGCCACGGCACGGGGCAGGACAGCAAAGTGCTACGGGGACACCGCTACAAGCACAGGTCACACAAGGCAGTGCCCAGCTAAACCCGGAGGAAGGAGCAGCGGCTGCCAGATTAGGTGGAGGTAGCTGCCTCCGCTAACGGGGTGGGCTTCGTTCGGGTGGCGGATGGAGTATAAATGAGGCTTTACGAAGCCGGGCAGTACTTTGGTGCCAGGTCTTTGATTTCAGATAGCAGTCTGCGCGAGCTGCAGGAACCAGCTCACAGCTGATACGCTTCCAGCTTTGGTAAGAAGACCGCTTACTGCTCGGTCTTCCTTATTTTACCAACACCATATGTGCGCAGACGGAGGGATTTTGTATATTCCAAGCTGGTTTACTCGGTATTAGCCAGGCACCCTGACTCAGAATGCCATTTATGCCTCCAAACGCATTGCAATAATGGCTTATTCTTGCACTCCCTTCATCCTCTGGACAACGAAACTTCAAGGATTCCCAAGTGCAAAGCTCTGTATACTCAAGGGGGAAGAGAGAGGATGCAGGATGGGTTTTATTTTTAGGTGTTCCTATTGGAGCCTTGGTAAGTGTCTTCTACAAGTTCAGAAGACGTGAAAAACCAGAAACAAATAAAAGTGCAGGATGTCTCAAAATTGTTTCACAACACTTGAAAACAGGTGCAAATTCCTCCATCACTATATGCAGTGATTATTATGTATTTTATCAGGTAATATTTTTCTCGCTTTTGCAACGGATGTCAGTTTAAAGAATGTCTTTTATTTTTCCTGACCTTCACAATCCGTACTGATCGATGGGAGCTTCACTTTTGTTTCCCAAAAATCAAAGTGAAATAAAATGCCTTGAGTGGAAATCAAAAGTCTTTGACATATAGCAGAAAGCTTGCTGTGCAATATTAGTACCCAAAGGCAGCTCAGAATTCTTTGTTAAGAGCAACATGCTTTCACCTTGAACATTTTAAATCTAATCTGAAGACTTAAATCATAGCAATCTTTACCATGCAGATACAATAAAACTAACAGATTGGAAAATATCTTTTTATGTTTAACTCTGTACCTGAATATTTCATTGTGCTTTAGGCAGTAGTAAGCCAGCACTTCTTCAGATGGCCAGAGACCTGTAAAACAAACATATTCACCTGCTTAGAACAGATTTTTTTTTTTTTTGGTCTAAAATTATATTTGAATACATATTACCATTTGCAGACCTCTACCAACTGTTTCATTTTCTAAAATTGCCATAATACCATGGAATAAAGAAACAAATAAGACTTTTAATGGAACACTTCTGACTTAAGCATTGTAATGGAATATTTCATTGATTTCATCCCGACTAATGATCAGAAATTTATTTTATAGATACACACATATATCTATACATAGACATAGAATTGTCAAGACTTTAAAAGTTATATAAAATTTAATTCCATGAAACTTCTGACATTTGAGCATTCACATGAACATCAAACCGTTTGTACCAGGCCAGACGCAAGGCCCACCTTGCCTTGTAGCCTGTTTCTAAGAATGGACAGGAGCTCCCTCCTTTTTCATTAGCTACAGTCATTTAATTTCTTCCCAGTTTCATTTTATTTAGCTCCTTTTCTCTTAGGTTTTGTTAGGTCAGTCATCAGTCTGACCATAAGGGACACTGATCAGCAACACATGCTAAGGACAAATACAGGACTAGGGCAGTAACGCAGCATGATTTCTAGTTGTTGGCTTGAGAAGTTCCTGAAGAGGAGAGAAGATACAAGCAATAACTTCTGCTTAATAGTCACCAAAGGATTTTTCTAGTTGTTCTGCGGACGGTGGTAAACTTTCCATAGCCGCAATGTCCGGTGGCAGGAAGCACTTCAGTTTTACCGTGCTGTATGAACAACTCCTCTCTCTTGTTTTGTACTTGCCTCCTTGGCATTTTCATTTGAGGGCCTCTAGTTCTCGTATGGGAATAGAAAGGAGCAATCACGCTTTTTTTCACCTAATCTGTATTATTCATAACTTTACAAGCTTCCATCATAAAACTTACACTGGTCATTGTCAACCTGGGCAAGTACTTGGATGCATCCATGCAAATTTACCCCTTCAACACCATTCACTCATGAAACTCGCTGTTTTGTCAGGCCGGTTTCCCACCTCGCTGGAACATCTAACTGAAGTGCCGTGGCCCACGGAGAGGGCAGCGCGGGCAGCACAGATCCTGCGTGGCTTGCACGCTGTCCTGCAGGCACCAGTCTGCTCCCACCATTGCTGGAGGGAGCCTGGGGAAAACCGACCTGTATTCAGGCCCTTGAGTTCGGTTCCCAAAGGTAGGGAAGGATGAATCACAGGCACATGCGGCCAAATTTTGGTTCTACGTTGTTTTCCACCTGTTGTTGCTTAGCAATGAAAAAGCATGCTTACATGTCTATCCACAGGTAAAAAACAGGATTAGCCTCCCCCCACAACACACAGCATTATGAATTAACGTGGCAGAAACTTAATATTATGAACTACGGGCACTTCAACGGCTTCAGAAAACTTAGACACAGGCATGTGGGAGCACCTCTAGACAGGTAAATTGAATTCCATGTAGCTTACTATGTATGTGCATCCTTTAGACCATTTTTTATAATTTTTCATTCTCAAGACTTTAAAAATATCACAACACATTTAATAGAAGCAGAAGTTTGGGAGAAAAGCTGTCTTCCTTTTAAATCACTTAAAGCCTGATTATAACCATCAAATATATAATTCTTCCTTTCCATCCAGTAAGTATTCTGAACTATCCTCACTCAAAGCAGTAAATAACAAAAATTTATGAATGTGTCCTCTGCATGCAGATCAAGCAAAAGCCTAGGCATGACTTGGCCAGAACTTTTGTATGACAAAGATCTTAAAGATAAAAAAAAAAATAGAGTGATGATCCATATGTATGACAAAAACACTAAAGAAATATTGGTATTTGTCTTATGACAGTTTAGGCTGATTAGGTGTTTGCATATGTGCTATTTTGCTTAGACTTGCTAAGGGTTAAAATAAAATATTCACACATGACTACCCATTCTTCAGTGAAACATATACTAAGAATTGTACAGGATTTTCCATTTCCCTTTTGAGCATTGAAATACACTAAAACGACAGATTTTGCAATAAATATAATAACTGTTTAAATATTTTAGTGTATAATATAAAGAATGTTTCAGTTTGCATATAAAATGCTTTTTTAATGTTTAGTGAAGACACGGCTCATTTAATACCATTTATAATATATATCCCACATAAAAAAAAAAACAAAACACCAAACCCAGACCCACAAACACAAAAACCCTAAACCCTTACATAGCAAACTTTTAGCGAGAGCGAGTTTTAAAAATACTTGTCAATTATAGCAAAATCCTTCGACATCTGAGTTTTCAGTACCTTCGGTCAAATGTCTCTCACTTTTCCATGGTTCTCATTGAAAGGGCACTTTGAGTGGTGTCATTAAATCTTTTATGCGGGGTCACCGTTCTTTCCCCTGCTACCATTACAATGTTGATACCGGCTGAAACTGCAGGTGTATAAGATAGCTCTGTGCTGAGAGAGGGTAAAGCACCTTTGGAAAGACAATGCTCTTCTGTAGGCAGATGCTAGCAACGCTCACGGCTCTCCCCCCCGTAGGGAAGGAAGTATCATAAGTGGCCGGCGGCTGAAGAAGCAGGAGTCAGGAGGTCTTTCACGAACACGGGTCTCCCGTGTGGAACACAGTGCTTCCAGCTAAGCCAAGAAGCCAGAAAACCTGCATTAATTTTAGCAAAAGGAAAAGCTTCTCGTGCTTGAACAGGTAGGTAAGCCTCTTTACCTTCAAAACAGGGATAAGCTTAAAGATCCATGTGGAGGAGTTTGCATTCTGTCTTCTTCCCCTCCACTCTGACCTACATTCACCAACACGATGACCTACATTTTGAAGTTGCAAGTATAAGATAGTCCTGCTTCCGGCAGGAAACATACAGCGGGAAGGCAGAAATGCAGCAATTCCTATGAGTTAACAACTAACACTAGGCTGTGAAAAGCGTAGTTTATTTCCTGCACACACATACGTACGGATATGGATTAAGTTTCCTGGGAACATACTTAAAGTAATTCTTTCATATTTAAAATAAAATTATTCTCATTTCCTATTAAAAATTTGATTATAAATACCTAACATTGGATGGGTACCTATTTGCATGTGCAATTACTTACACACGATAGTCAATTATTTACACATGTATAGGCCCCCAAGTGGTGCTTGTATTTAGAAGGCTATAAATACGCTACCAGTCCCAGACAGAGGGGCTAAAAACCTCACTGTACAAGGAAACAGAGAGAAACAAGAGCTTCTTTTTACAAAAAGAATTCTTCTGTGACATTTACTGGAGATTTAAAACTCTTTATCACCTTGATAACTACAATGTGAAAACAGAATAGTTGCCAGAAAACATCAGAATCTCTGTTGAAACAAATAAAAAAATTACGTTGTGTTGGTGTTTAAGCAACTTTTAAAGTGCCAGGTCCTTCTGTACTAGCCATGGCACAACAGTGCTTTAAAGCAACCTTCAACCCACGTGGACTAAATCATGTGTAGACAGCCTTCTGAGGATGTTTTGTTTTAACCATCAGGTGGAGCACCACTAGTCCAAAGCAACACAAAACCTGTGTTTCTTCTGCGTTGTGTCTAAAAATGCTGAATCCTGTAGGATATTACAGAAAATTTTCTACTAGAAATAAATTATCCAGTATTTAAAAAAAAATTAAAAAATACTGTTTCTCCTCTGTGCCTCTTTACCACATATTTTAAACAATGCTGTCACACATTTGGACAACAAATATTGAGATCTGATGTGAAATTCTTAAAGAACGGCATGTTATTAGAAAATTCTCAGGATAGAGCGCTGAGAATTTTGAGACGTGGCTTTTTACAGAAGACATTTGACTTTTGGAGCCACTGTGTCTCCACACTGCTCCATAGGTACAAAGACGTTGCAGTAGCTACTGATTACTTTCACTGGGATTGTGCAAGATTAGTGGAACTCTGCTCTACTGTCTGCCAGTGCTACACACAGGAAAGAAGAGGGCAATTGGAGGTGGCAGGTGAGCCGTCCCTTCAAGCTCTGAGTAAGAGGTATAAAGCCGTCCTGCGACTGCTTCACTCATGCTAGCAGATTAAGAAGTTCCTTTCCAAGCTAAGTCAAATGGAAGGTTTTGTCCCTCTTCCTAGAACTTGACATGGACACATGTACAGACATCTGATGTCAAAATTCAGATTTTGTCTTTTATTTGCACTATGAGATGTCTTCCTATTGATTTCAGGTTTCAAGTATATTTTGCACAAATCCTATCTCAACCCTCAAAAGCAAAGACAATTTAAATTTGAGAAGTCAGTCATTTTCCCCAGATGAATATACTCCAAAAGATCTTTTTTCTACTATGTCCTGACTCATGAATACATGAAATCACCTTATTTGCTTTAATACTCATCAAGGCGAGAGGAAAAAAAGCATTATGGGCGAAGAGATGAATTTGTATGTACCAGCAATTGCACTGAGCAATGATGAATTGTCTTCTGACCCTAAGAAAAGTGGTTTTTATCCTTCCTGACACCAAGACACATTGTTGGTGGAGAGCAGAAAAACCTTTGGTACCACAATGGACTGTGCAGAGGTGTTCAATTAAGTACCTATCTGGACAGGCAACTATTCCCCATATCCCCTGCTAAAAGACTGTAGAGTGGATGGAAAATCACCAAAACCAAGGTATCTACTGGAATAGGCTATCCTAGGAATTTAACATAAAAGGAATTCTAGGAATTTAAAATAAAGTCCTTCCACTCCTACTGTAGCATTGTTACAATCCTTATTTTACAGTATCAGACATTATTTTCTACTGACTATATATTTAAGTCACAAGGGAAGGTAAGTTTGATTATTTTATCCTGGTTAGTTTTTGTGTGGATCACCAGCACCATGCACAGCAAGAAGTACAACACATCTGCTGGAGATCCTGGAGAAGTAAGACAGCAGGTCAAAATCAAGGTTGAACAGCACAGTCATTTGGAGTAAATTTCAGAATGAGGCTCTAACCAATATTATGAGCCCTTCTGTCAGTGGGGCACTAAAATTCACTTCCCAGTCAAAGAAAAAATATGAAATGACGAATAGCACAATTAAGACTAAGTACAAAGTGGATGCACGGCAGGTATCTGCCAAATACACCTTGCTAGTAAATAGAACATAGTTGTTCTAATCTGAGTAATTGCTTGAGTAAAGACTACTTGTAATTAATTGTACTGCTGTAGTTAGTTAGTTTGCATGGATAGCTCTCAAAAATACTTCTAGCTCTCAACTTTCTTCAAACTTCATACCTCAAGCCCCTTTTCAATATGTTTTTATCATAAAAAGTGTTGCTTACTAAGTCAGGAAGTGAAGATCTTACTTTCATTCACTTGTTCACAGAGCATGAAAAATGTGACACAGCTGAAAGGATAATCAATAATCCAGGTTACCTAAGATCCCACCTAAGGTGTATTGAACCTAGAAAACACATGTAATAAGGCATTATTACGAGAAATATTCAAGTTTTTAGCTGCCGTAAAATGCACGTACAGAAGAGCGGAAACCTTCCACAGAAAATGACTGTTATAATAATCTAAAGACAAGTCTGGCCACTTTAGTAAATAAAGAAATAGAGGGAATTGCTAGGTGAGGAAAAAATCCACTGAAAAAACTCTTGTTATTCCATTCTGTTTGCAGTACACAAACCCCCTGTTTTCAAACTTGCATCCTCCCCTTTAAGTTTACACCCACCTACAGCAGAAGCAGATAAAA